TTGATAAAATGAATATGGATTGGTTGCTAAATTCTGAGATCATAGGCCAAGGGGAGTCCTTTTTGAAATAGGAGGAAAGGGAGTTAAGACCACTAGAGGCGGGGAGGGAAGTGGAAAAAATGAGGAGCTGATACCAAGGGCTCAAGTAGAAAGAAAATGCTTTGAAAATGATGGCAACTTATGTACAAATGTGCCCGACACAATGGAAGAATGTATGGATTGTGGTAAGAAATGTAAGAGCCCCCAATAAAAGTATTTAATAATAATTTTTAAAAAAGACTACAAGAGGTACTGAGAGAGGAAGAGAGAGAGATTAAAGGAAAAATAAACAACAAACTATGGTATTCATTATCCTTATGACTGATATGATAAAATTTTAAAAATCATTTTATTGGGGGCTCATACAACTCTTAACACAATCCATACATACATCAATTGTGTAAAGCACATTTGTACACTCATTGCCCTCATCATTCTCAAAACATTGCTCTCCACCTAAGCCCCTGGCATCAGCTCCATTCCCCCCCCCTTCTTCCCCTCCTGGTATCACTACTCTCAATATCGATCCTTAGGGTTTTATCTGTCCTGGATTCTCTGTGTTTCGAGCTCTTATCTGTACATGCTCTGGTCTAGCCAGATTTGTAAGGTAGAATTGGGGTCATCACAGTGGAGGGTGGTGGGCGGGGAGAAAGCATTAAATAACTAGAGGAAAGTTGTATGTTTCAACACCGCATGTTTTAACAGTGCTATACTGCACCCTGACTGGCTTGTCTCTTCCTTGTGACCCTTCTGTAAGGGTATGTCCAATTGTCTATACATGGGTTTTGGGGCTCCATTCTGCACTCCCCCTCATTCACAATGATATGATTTTTTGTTCTGGGTTTTTGATGCCTGATACCTGATCCCATTAACGTCTCATGATCACACAGGCTGGTGTGCTTCTTTCAGGTGGACTTTTTTGCTTTTCAGCTAGATGGCTGCTTGTTTATCTTCAAGCCTTTAAGATCCCATATGCTATACCTTTGGATAGCCGGGCACCATCAGTTTCTTCGCCACATTTGCCTATGCGCCCATTTTGTCTTCAGGGATCGTGTCCGGAGGTGAGCATTACGGAATGCCAGGTTATTAGAACAAAGTATTCTTGCGCTGAGGAAGTACTTGAGTAGAGGCCTAATCTACAGTACTTTGCTACTAATTGCCCACTGAGGAGGTGGGCAAAGGACCTGAACAGAAATTTCACAAGGGCAAAAATCTGAATGGCCAATAAACATATAAGAAAATGTTCCTGAGCATTAACCGTAGAGAAATGCAAATTAAAATAACTATGAGATACCACCTAACACCCTCAAAGATAGCCCAATTCAAAAAAATCAGAAAGCAACAAGTGTTGAGGGCCTGTGGGGAGATAGGAACTCTCGTACATTGCTGGCGGACCTGTAGGTATGTACAGCCACTATGGAAATCAATTTGGTGATTTCTAAAATAGATGGAAATCGAGCTACCGTATGACCCAGCAATCCCCCTCCTGGGCATGTAGCCAGAAGAGGCAAGAAACAAACCACGGTCAGACATCTGTGCTCCAATGTTCATCATGGCAGAGTTCACAATCACAAGGAGTTGGAAACAACCCAAATTTCCATCAACAGACCAGTGGATTAAAAAACTGTGGTACGTACATACAATGGAGTACTACACACCCTAAAAAGCAGTGATGAATGCATGAAGCATATCGCTGCATGGGAAGACCTGGAAGATATTATGCTAAGCAAAGTAAGCTGAGCACAAAAGGACAAGTACAACATGAGTCTGCTGAGGTAAGCCCAAAAATGCAAAAGGGGCATAGGGAAAAAGTTACTGTATACAAACATTCCTGGGGTGAGATCCAGGTAGCATGGCAGGGGCCAGATCCAATCTAGGGATACATATGGCAGCCAACTAAAAAAGAGGGGAAAAGAAAAAAAAAAAAGACATGGGTGGCCGGGAACAGGGCACTAACCACCCAAGGGGAAGGTGTTGTTTTATCTCCACAGGAGAGGGAGAGAGGATAGACTGCTTTAGAATGTGCTGTGGGGTGGGTTTCTAGTCCCAGCGACCCTACAGGACAGAGCAGAACTGCCCCGAATTTCCTAGGCTAAACATAATCTTTACTGCGCAGCTGATTGCCTGGGAGTCGCTCGGGGGTTTCCAACCCACAGATCTTGAGGAGACATCACCTGAGCGCCTTAAGCGCAGTGTCACTACAGCGTTTTACTGACATCATTGAGACAAAGATATAAAATGATTTAAAAATATTTCGACAAATTCACAAGGTTTGGTACCATACATAGGAACGAAGAAACTGGCTTATACTTAAATTTAAGGTTGGAAGTCAGAGACAAGCATGCACTCTCCATTTGTCGTTTGGGGGTCCCGTCTGCAGCAGTGTATTAGGCTGGCTGAGTTTATCCAATATGGAAAAGTTCTGTATTCCTAAAATGAACCACTTGCTTGGGATTAGTCTCACGTCACTACACCTAAGATAGGCTGCGACAGAAAAATCATTCATCGTCAAGTGAAAAAGAAGTCCCAAACTCTCCCATAAAAGTAGGTCTTGATAAGTTTGGAGGGGAACAGATAATTTCATTCTGAGGCTCAAAGTCTTCCCTCCTGTTGCAAACTCGCGCAGCAGGCCTGAGGGTAAAGGTAGAAGAGTGCTTTAGCTAAGAGTTTTCTTCATGGAGGAAAAAAACCCTGGCACAGTAAAAGGTGCAGAACACTTTCCCGTTTGTCAGGAAAAGACTGAACAGTGAAAGCCGAATTCTCTCTTCTAAGGAGAATCGGCGTGGAACAAGCGGGAGGAGGATCGCGGCGCTCACCATTGTGTTCGCCCGGCGGCGGACGGACCTGGTCGCGCAGCGCCGTTAAAGAGTCCTTCTTTGTTCGGCGCCAACCGGAGCCGCAGGGCGCGGTGTTCCTCCGCGCTCCCTCCGCCCCGCCTTCCCGGGGCCCTGGAGAGCTGCCATTGGGCCCCGGCTCGCTGCGCGCTCCCACAATGCACCGGCAGTCCGCGGGAAACCAAAATGGCGGCGGGCTGTGTTGAAGTGGGCTGTGTTTGAGGTTGGTTCGCAAGCGCTCGCCCAGTTCCAGTTCTCGTGCCGACGACCTCCGCTGTGCGTGCGTCTGTGCAGGGTCCCCGGTGGGGCGGGTACCCAGGAAGTGCTCGGACTCGCAGGGGAAGCGCCCAGGGGGACGTGATTGCTTGTTTTTTTTTCCTGTATGAAGCGTTTGGCACCACTGAAGTGACCGAATGAGGTGAGACCTTGGCCTGGGAACCGGCTTCTTCCGTGGAAGTGGTGGAGCAGGAAGAAAGGAAGCGAAGGGAAAGATGGAGGCTCGCGGTGGGGGTGGGGTGCCAGTGTGTGCATTTGGTTTGTGTATGTGTAGAGAAGAGTGGATGGAAAAGGAGTGTAGTCCATTGGGTGTTGGAGAAAATAGGGTCCGAAGGAGCGAGCGGGGCTTGGGGGAATGGGTTGGGGGAACTGGATGAAACGGGGAAGCTGTGTTTCGTGGGGCAGGAAGGAACCTGGGGGCGGGAGATGGTTGGAGGGGCAGGATGAACCTGGTGGCGAGGGGGTGGGGGACGGAGGGGAGGAGCCGTTAGGAAATGGGGGCTGGGGACTATGGGGAGCAGAATGAAGGGGGGTTGCCTGGGACCTTTGGAGACATAAAGGGAAGTCGTAATTTGGAGCCGAGGGCGGTGGAATTGTGTGGGAACGGAGTTTGGAGGTAGAGCGGACGGGCAGGAGGTAAGGAAGTGGAGCCTCGGAGCAAACCCTGCAGGTTTCACGGAAGAGGAGGTGGGAAGGAAAACAAGATGCGGGAGGAGGCACCTTTTATTTGGAGCTCACCAAACCTGAGGTATCGCTTCTGTTTAATTAAGTCTAACCATATTCATTCAGTTTTTTACAACTGAGATAATTACGGCTGAACTCACTTGCCAACATGTTTCTGGGCAGCATTCTGGGAGTGCCAGAATTCTGTATTTTACAGTCTGGTACCTTTGGTTAAGAGTGCTTCTAGGGAAGCAATTAGAGGAAACAGATGGAGGTATCTGGGTGATTTTACTGAGGGCTGAACAATGGGGAAAGGGTATGAAATGTTATTAAGACGCTTAACTTTGGTTAATGATGAAACCCATCTAATACTAATACACACATGAAAAGCTACGTCGGCCTGTGCATATCCCAGAGGGAAAGCATCATGGGAAGTCAGGAAAGACGGAGACACCCGTAAATAGTGCCCGATTTAACTTGACTCCACACGTACCCTGGCAGTAGTAACTTTCTCCTTCAGACTCCAAGTGATCCTCTAGGAGTGAGATCCTTTGCCTAAGGGATGGTTTTAACTTTCATGTTTTCATTCTCTCCCTAAAAGGTCTTGCAAAGGAAGCTGAAGTTGAAAGTACTTACTGTGGATAAAAGAAGATGTACTAAAATGCTTAGGTGACCTTGTCAGAGGTTTTGGAAATCCTTTAAATGGAGCCCTTTAAAGGGATTCAGTAATTTGGGAGGAAAGAGTTGACTTACAATGTCTTAACATGAACGTAGTCTAGTTTTGATTTGGAATGCTACTTACATTTCAAGTATTTCAAATGAAAGGCGAAAAGGTTGAAAATTTTTGTTTTTTAAATTCCTCAATTTAGAAATGTATTTAGATTTGCATTTTGAAATTTGCTTTCCTTTTTAAGGCCAAAAAGGCTCTAAAATATTTGAATTAAGAATGCACCTGTTTCCTGATGCTGCATATTCATAAGTACCCTAGTATTAAATGGTACATTAATGGAAATCTACTTAACTATAGAAATCATCTGGTTAATGTTTTTCCCTAGACAAAACCAAAAATATGTAATAATATCATGAAATGATATCTATTGCCTCAAAGCTCTGTAGGAAAGAGATTTTGTGTTTTGCTGTGTGTTTTGATTATGAATATATATCTATTAATTGCACTTTTGACTTAAAGGATAGTTTGCTTTATTTGTATTTCAGCATAATCTTTACATCTGACTCGAGGAAACTGCTATAGTGGTCATCTATTGTAACAGATGGGGGAATTTGTTTGAGGAGTTGCTTTGGCAAACATCTGTAGCTTGGTGGTTCTGAAAGAAACCTGGCTGCTGTTTGAGTTAGTCTTAACTCGGCTGAAATATTTCTTGATCCACATTTCCATGTTTTACTGTACTTATTCTTTAGAATCATTTGTTTATTGCAGAAGAATACAATGTCAACAATCCTGACTTGAAATAGGGAAGTTTCCCTGTGTTTCTTATGTTTAAGAGCAGTGCTGTCCAATTAAAGATTCTACAACTGTTTTGCTTTGTTTGACAGCTGGGAGCTAGGCTACATGCGACTTTTGAACACTTGAAATGTGATGTTTGTGACTGAGAACCGAATTCATTAAAATTAAATTTTAACCGGTCACATGTGGCAATGGCCGTTGTTTTGGAGAGCATAGTATTAGAGATCATAGCATTTATGTGTTAGGACTTTACTTATCATTAGCCATGGAAACCACAGGAACCCAAAGGCCAGCGACTGCTATAGAGCTGAAGTTCAAGTTGCTTTGTTCATTTTTAAAATGATATATTTCATTTTTGCTGTAAACCCTGTCTTCTGTCATAGTTCTGTTTTCATATAACAATGTTAAAGAATATGGAAGGTAGTCACTTCTGGAGCTTTTAAGATTTATCTGGTGCTATTTCCTATGTTAAAAACCAACCAAAAAGTGGGGTTAGGAAGGTTACTTGTTACTTTAAAAAATAACAGCTTTCAGATGTAATTCACATACTAGATATTCTTAAGTATAATTCACATGTATGCTTTTTTGAAGTGTGCAGTTTGCTGATTTTTAGTATACTCACATAGTTGTGCAACTATCATTACCTAATTTCAGAACATTTTCCACTCCTTATCCTGCCAATCATTAATCTGTTTTATGTTTCAATGGATTTTTCTATTCTGGATAATTCCATATAGATGGAATTACTCGATGTGTGCCTTTTTGTGTGTCTTGACTGTTTCCATTTAGTATTTTGTTCCCAAGGTGTATCTGTGTCTCAGCGTCTTATCAGTACTTAAGTCCTTTTTTTGGCCAAATAATTTGTTGTATGGATATATTACATTGTTTATCCATTCATCAGTTTATGGACATTTGAGTTGTTTACACTTTTGTTTATGAACACTGCTATGAAAATTCATGTACAGAGTTTGTATAAACCATGTTTTATGTGAACACCAGGGAGTGGAATTGCTGGGTCATGTGGTAACATGATGTTTAAGATGAGTAAATGCCAAACTTTTCCAAAGTGGCTGTGCCATTGTGTAATTCCAGCAAAACCCCACCAATTCTCCTGACACTTGTTATTATTTCTCAGAATAATCTACTATGTGGATCAGTTTTTTTTAATTGCTTCATAAAATTGGAAATCCAGGATAGCTTATAAATCACCTTCTGAATAGGATTTTTTTGTAGTAATAAATTAATTCTCCATTGTGTTACGACAATTTTGGTAAAGACAGTCCTTAATAAAGTTGTTTAGTTTTTGCTCTAATGGTTTGTGCAGACCATGCAAAAATATTTTAAGTGTGCAAAACTGAGTAATAAGTCCAAGTGTTGCCCAGGATGCGGATTTAAATAAGGGAACAGAGCAAAGGAAAGAACCCTTGTGATGGATATATTGGTATCTTGACTATCAGTGTTGATATTCTGGTTGCAGTAATATTCTGTACTTTTCAAGATGCTGCAAATGGGGCAAACGAGGCAAAGGCTACAAATTCATGTGGACCTACAGTTACTTCAAAAAGATATGTTCAATTAAAAAACAAAAATGAGGGGATAAAGTAGATCACAAGAGGGATAGCAAGAACAGTTCGTACATTTGTTGGGATTCATTCAGCAAGGTGGAAAAACCAAAAATCTAAAAGATGAGCTTCTGTTCTTCCCTATCCTTGATAAGGAAGTTTATATTGCAGAATAACTTCCAACTTTTTGTCAGAGGGAGGACAGACCACAGTGGTCTTGTGGAAAGTACTGGTGAAGATCCTCAGAAGGTTTGGATCTGACGGAATCTAGTTTTTTTTTACCTGAGTAAATGAGGTTGAGACCTGTGTGACCCTGTAGGACAAGAGTGGAACTACTCCTTTGGGTTTCTTCTTCCAAAGCTGTAATTATTACGGGAATAGACAGCCTCATTGTTCTTCTGAGAAGGACCTAGTGGTTTTGAACTGCTAACCTTGTGGGACTCAATGCATAACTACTATGCCACTGGAGTTCCTGCCATATATCGATATAGTGCTAATTTTTGAAGTCACTTTCCCCAAAGAGTTGAGCTATAGCACAAAAGTTCTTCATGTTCCTACTGTTAAGTCCATGTGCTTGGTATTCTGAAAACACCACCGTTTTTCTTCTGGTAATGGGTATGTCTAACACTGAGTTGATAATTTATTTTGCCTTATTCATTATTGTAGTTTCAAAACATTGATTGAGTTACTATGTTCTCTGTTGAGTATACTATATAAAGAGGGCTTCAAAAAGTTTGTAAAAAATGGGGCTGAAAGGTAATGAAAGTTTTTCGAAAACTTGCTTTTGAGGCCACTTCATTTAAAATTTATTGAATTCTAGATTTAGGGGATGAAAAAGATCATTGTTTAGTTTAGGTCTGAAAAACTGACCTTTGGCATTGTTAGGATGTTTTAGAAGTTGCTGAACAGCCCTAATAGTTCTGAATGATGTTAAATAACGTTCCACAACCACAGTAGAGTTCAAAATAATAACAGAGCCAGGAGGATTATTATCTACCTTGTAGACTCTGATTTGGGAGGTTTAAGGGGACTTTTGTATAGATATTGTATATTTAAATTCTTTTCACTTGATTTTGTAATTCAGCCAGGGTTAAAAAGCACTGTTTTGTCCTAGGTAATATTAACATATCATGAAGGATAAACTAATAATATGCCATATTTTTTATACGTGAAATTAAAAAATCTAGCACTATTTCCATCACATGAATATGTAAAATACTTTTACTTAGTTGTTAATAAAGTAGCTAATGGAACTTTGTAGTTTGGGAACTTTTTGGACTGTTTTATGAGTGCTATGAACCTTGTGGAATGTTTTATGGAATTGCAGTTAGGTTTTGTGAGTGAATTCTTCTTTAAAAAATGTGTTCAAGGGTTAACACCTTTAGTTCGGCATATTATAAAAGGTAAACAAGATCTGCATTAGTTAGCGTGTGAGAATGACTTTCTCTTAGT